TTCTTATCTAATTTTAACGCGAAACAGTGTCCACGCGGGCCGGACCTTGCGAAGTACGAGAGAGAGATGATCGCGTGGCCTTGGTAATTCTGAAATTTGGACAGAGCCTCGTAAACTTGAGCCGTTACTACGCCGATTAGCCGATACACCAATCCCGTACACAATCGTACAACGCAGAATCTTCGCGATCTTCCGTTCACCGCTTATTTCGAGCTTTTACAAATATGCACGGAATTTTCATCGATCGTTTCTCATTTTCAACCGAGAGATTCGTTCCTTACATTTCGTTCGAATTCACCGAAACCGTACTGTCTCGACAGATTCACGCGAGGCTTTTTCCCACCGAGACACGAAAGTGATTATGGTGTGGAAATAATGCGTTCAAAGGGCCGTGACATTTCCAAAATGGGTCGTGCGTAAGAACGACGAGACGAGCTTTTCGTAGAAAACGACGTCGTTCATGATGCAACGAAAATAATCCACATACCATCGCCCAATTTTTGTACGCACGATCGTGTCTGGATCTATTGAAAAATAGAACGAAATCGGGGAAGATGACCGGCGGCCGTCGGCTCGAGAAATTTAGAAAAACAAAGCCCGTTCGCCGAGGGAGCAATAATAACGAAGTAAGGAAGATTGATTTTCCGCGGTACCGGGAAAAGAAGGACGCGACGCAGTCCAGAGACACGCCGTCTGATCTTAAACTGTTGTTACCACTTATCGCATTCCCATCTCGTGGCTCGGTTACTCCACTTTCCGAGGGCAATGAAGCTGAACGACGTCGCAGCAGCTGGCTCTTTCTCGTATTTCTCGTTACACGCGAAACCTCTACGCTCTGTGCTGTATTTTTGACAATGACGCGGTCGCGAAGCCTCAATTCGAGCCATCTGCTTCTAGCCGAACAGACGGTGTCGCGGGAAAAAAGAAAAAGAGAAAAAAAAAATGGAAAGAGTCTGCCGGCTAGTTTGGAGGATACGAGAAGGTAGAAATCTGGAAAGTTTGCACTTTCTACTTGTAAAGTTACGATCGTCCTTTCTCGACGAAAAATACGTGTACAAGACCCTATGACACAATTCCTAACTTCCTAATGGCTGCGTAAAAGAGAAGGCACGTTAGATGTTGTTCACACTTGGAGGTTATTACTTATAAGTGACAGTAATACCGTCTCATTTCCTGGCCGCTCCACTTTGCGAGAGCAACGAGACCAGTAGCCTCGACACAATGCGACCGATTTACTAAAGTCAATTCAATGAAGCGCTTACTTTTGCCTCGGCCGTTTTATGCCCAGAAATTTATGGAAACTCGAATTTCGGAGGTAATATTTTCTACCCTTTTCACCGAGTTCCTATTTTACTCGGGATACTTTATGCAATAGCGTTGCAAATTCGTACGCTTAATTGTTCGATCTTCCACTGTGGCAGCTTACGAAAATCAACACCGCGGTGTATGATTACTTTACGTTAAGTTAGCTGTGAAAGTAATCAGGCAACAAGTTGTCGCGAAATGTAATTCGGCAATTTATCGAAGATTATTTTGCAGAGAGAAATAAAATCGCGATTTGCATTGCGGTCTGCAGACTGCATAATGCGGTTTCATTTATCGGCTATTCCACTTTGCTGTGTTACGATACTTATTTATGCGGGTACTTGATGCAACAATAATGTAAATACTATCGATTTTGCACAACCATCGGCGTTTCGATAATGAATTATTCTCCCGACACCTGCCACTATGCTCCACAGACGTTACACTGCGAAACGAATTTATACATGAAAAAGCTCCGGCCGGTAATACTAAAAGTTGGTACAAAAAGAACAGAGAGAGTACTCTGAATTTCTCGTTGAATACCAATACTTGGATTCAAGTCCATTCGTTAAAGAATAGCGTCGATAAAGAACAAACTTCTTCTTACGTATCTTCTTACGTTCCTAGAGATGTAGATAGCAAAGTTACCGACCATATGTACCAAGAATAAGGTCGTAAACGATAATTTGAGGTCGGCTATGTCTTAACGACTTTATTAGTCTTCTCCCCGTAATTATAACTCGTTCATTAATCATGATAGTGGCCTCGGTTCGCCGTCCCGGTTCAAGCTATCGATCTCGTTGTCACATTACATGTGTATCACACATGGAGGTTATTGCGCCCACACTTGGAACAATTCACGCGATAATTGTTCAATTCTTATCGATGACCATTCCCAAATTCGACGAGTCGTCGACCACATCAAAGTCGACCACTCGATTAAACGTCGCCGAAACAGTTCTAAACACCTTTGACTCGGTGAATTTTGCATCGTAAACGAAATCCAACGAAACAAAAGAGAGTGCGTACTCTAATACGAGTGGAATAATGAACATCGGCCGATTCGCTTTTATACAACGAGACGCCGCGCCGACCTAATGAGACGTTTTCATTAAACTGCTAATTCAAGCAACACTGTACGCAGTCGTTAGCCTTAATCATCATTAGAAGCGACGTAGGTACCTAATGTACCGTGTTCACGGTTCCCTTGTATTACATTTGCACAGGATTAGAATTTACTTAAAGGTATGCTTTAAACGAATTTCCTCGAACGCGTACAAACCTGGCGTATCGTAACGCGCGCACAATAATGTTTACCTTCAGAGAGATATTTGGCTACTTGGAAGACGAGACTACGTCTAACGAATATTTATAGAAGATGATGATGATTTCTGCGTGATGTTCTCCCGCGAACCTGCCCCTTATGCGTCACAACAATAGTTACTTAACATCTTCCGAATGAAAATAAATCGAAAGCTGATTCACAGGTGATTTTCGGGCGGGACGGGGCGATTCCAACGTGAGCAAATTGTAGAGAAAAGCTTGCTGTCGTAATTCAGATTAAACGAGGCAACAACAGTTTCGCGTGAGCAAGTACGATTTACAGGGAGATGGATGAAAAGCGACGACAATCGTTCGAATAAATTCCCATGGTAATTCGCGGTGGAACGATCATCCACGTTTCGAAGATAATTCAAAAACGGTTCGCGCGAACATTTCACGGCTTCAGCTCGCTCGTAAATCAGCCTGCAGTGGTAAAAGTTCTGTTCTTTATCGTTGCAGAAGTCGAAGATGCGTTTTACTTGCGTAAAAACCTTCACTCCGGGATAAATTTTTCGAAAGAACTTTCGAACCGTAATTCTCTACTAGGTAGTAAAGCTAGAGAGGGCAGAGGAACACGTTGATTAATCCTCTAAGAATAGAATCAGTTCCCAATAACAATGAAAACCGTTTAGGAATGAGTTAACGTTGTAACAAGAATACACGTACTCGCAGATAAATTAGTTTCGCGAGTTTGTCGCAACTGAATAAATGCGAACAGGCTCGAATCATAGGTGCGAAGGTTTAAACGATTTACTAGTCCAAGAGAGGAAACAGGAAGTTCGCTGAAACGAAAACTGAACAGCGACACCTGGTTCGGCTAAAAGTTTAATTAGGAACGTAAACGTTGCCAATGAAAGTTTCGTTCGTGTGGCACATTCGTGAGAAAAATGCTGCGCAAAGTTAAATTTCCTAGGTGGCTTCGATTCTCGCTTCGAAAACTTTCCTCGTTCCCCCCACCCCGTCCCCCTCTTTTTTTCGCTTCTCGCAAAAACTAACGACAAACCGTTTATTCGCTTCTTTCTGACGAACGCTCGATCGTTTCACTTTATTCCACGGTGCAAGCATAACTATCGCGAGAGAAATTGCGTGGAAATTGTCTGAAACGAATCACAATCGGTCGTTCCTCGCATTTAAACAGCATTTGACAGCTGCTATTGAAAACAACGGCACACATTCGACGTGTTGAATCAATATAGCGTATCAGAGAGGAAAACCACGGTCGTTCGTGTGCAAAATAGACGACGCGGAAATTAGGAAAGGACAAATTAACGATAGATTGAAACGTGCCAATCGGTGCTTGAAACGATGCAAATGGCACCGAAACGATCGAATTAATACTGTATCGATACTTTACGTTTCCCACGTAAATATATTCGACGATCAATTCTTCAATCTACTTAAATATCTGCCCAATGATGTTATTACCTTCTATTAGAAACTTTTCTATCGTTATATAAATAATGATAGCACGCTTGAAAAAGTACTACGTGCGATCATTCTTCGCGTGCGGTATTTATAAAAACTTCTAAGATTTCTGACTTACCAGGCACTGGAGTAGCGTCTCGCAGCTTCTTAATCCGATCGGCCTTCTCGATATATGTACGTACAATGGTAGGCAGCAAGCGTTCAATCTTCCACTACGTTAAAACACGGCTTCCTCTTCCTTCACGTTACATTTTCGTTCAAATTCCTTCGTTTCGCAACATCTACGTTGTTATTGAACAATTAGTACCGGTTCACGTACCGTACAAAAGTCATGAAATCACTGAAAACAGATGTTTATTCGACCACACACTCCCGTCGTCCTCTTCTCATGCCAATGTTCACACTTAAACACAACGTTATTGTCTCTTCTTAGAGTACAGTTTTGCGATAAAAGTATTATGTTTACACTTGTAAAGGTCAGGAACCTTGGACGATTCGACGATTGCCAAACACAACCAACATTTTGCGCGCCCTTTTCGAATGTTCCGCGAAGAAGAACACAGAGTATGCATGTCTTTGGATACGCGCCACAACGCCTTTCAAAGAGATGCAAGGCGATAGTCCCGATCTCTAGCGGTACTTGTCAGAGTTTTTTTTCTATTCCTCATAAGAACAATGCTGCAAATGCGTATTAACGCCTGGCAAATTAATTTCAACCAATGACAATGATCACTTATAGTTGTATTCTAATTTCAAACCAATCGTCGATAGTGTCGTACTAAAAGAATAAAGGGATCGGCAGTGTTAGATTCGCGTCGAAAATTGTGTCGCAATCGTTGTCTTTTATATTTATATATTGTGATTAACGTAAGAACCGATTCTCAAGTAACTGCAATTTTAAACAATTCTAGGCTGTTGTAAAAATACTTGTTCCTTTCTGATTGCAGATTTCTGGAAATAGAACCCAAGGGAAAAGTGAATTACCGATAACCGCGAAATTGCAACGCATCGCAGATGTACGTACGAGAATTGTTCGAAAGTTTCATAACGATTAAACAGATTAAAACTGACTCCGTGGTACTTAAGAAGAGAGCAGAACGACGAAAAGCGAGATAGCACCTTGAGACGTTAATAAAATCTTCGTCATGCTACCAAAATTATTCGTTCTCGGCTCTCACAAAGTGAAAAGGTAGTGAGAGTCGAATCGAAGTGTGAGAAAAGATAACTATCTTGAAAATCGTCAACCCATCCGAAACTGTATAATGCAAAATTGGACAGTGCGCAGAGGTTTAAACCTTTTGAAACAAAGTAACAAACATAAATCCATTCCTATGTGAATTTGTCTGTGGAAAAGAGAGACTACGGGACTAGAAACTACTACTAGAAACTGTACAATAACGGAAACGGACGAACGTGATTAAAGGAAAGTAGAAAAATAAGAAAATGGTGACGTGAGATCGAAGAAAAACGAAGGAGACTGCTAATGAAGAATTGGGCGAAAGACGAGAACGAAGGTAGTCGAAAACGATGGAAACAAGCCTCGATCCCTTGAACAGTACCAGTTACTACGATGCTGGTGATTTATCGAACAATTTGTCGATCAAGGAAAGCGCGGGAGAACCGCTCGAATGTAAAGACGAAATCAATTCGAGCGGTCTTTTCGATTTCGTTATTTACGGTGTGCTGGTGAACTTGGTCGGTCTCTTTGGGATATTTGGCAATGCGATCTCGATGATCATTCTCTCGAGGCCGCAGATGAAATCATCGATCAATTACCTGTTAATTGGCCTAGCCAGATGCGATACGGTGTTAATTATCATTTCGGTAAGTTCATTTAGCTGTCGCGTTCGGTGGACTAAGAGGGCACTTTTTTAAACGCATAAAACCACTCGGCACTCAGAAATTGTTAGACGGTGAAAACGTGCAGCTTCTAAAAATTTACACGAGCACTACCTTCTTCATCTGGGAAAGTGAGCTTAAAAGGTCTAGCTAGAGTAGCATCTTAAATTGCAACCGCGTATGAGAGGAAATGAAACATATGGAATTCCTCCGTCGTTATGCTTGAACAACCGTTTAAACGTACGAATATTCCGCTTCATCGGAAATTTATAACTGTGTCTCCTAGCCTCTCGGGAGCTGACAATGTGTTACTTCGATGCACGCGGCAACGCAACGTTAGTTTATTGCTCTGCTCGAATGTTAAAGTTCCGAAAGAAGTTGCAATTTCTAGCGAAACAACATTTCATACACGTCCAATTGATCTTGAAGGATACTCGTTCTCTCGATAAAAGTGCTCAACTATCTAACGTATAAAAAATATCCTTCCGTTCGTATAACATCGTGTTACGTAAACATCGCGTTTCGTCGCCAAGTGAACTTTTCAAGATCAATATCAAAAGATTTCTCAGCGTGCCGAAGTAGTTATCTCTGTACTAAATAAAAAACCACCGAATTTTCATTTTTCCTTTATTATTCAACCTGTTTTAATCGATTAACGGAAGACTTGATTTTTATCCCGATGTAACAAATGGGAAAGGATTAAGCGATTGAAAACGGCTTGTGACATTTTCAGATATTGATTTACGGCTTACCTGCAATTTACGCGTACACCGGCCTGCTATTCGACTACAGGTTCATCGTCTACCCGAAGATTGTTCGATTTTTGTATCCATTATCGTGCATGGCGCAAATAGCAACGGTGTACTTAACTCTAACTGTGACGCTAGAGAGGTACATCGCAGTCTGTCATCCTTTGAAAGCTAGATCTTTTTGTACATACGGACGAGCTCAACTGGCTGTGTTGGTTATCGTGATATTTTCCTTTATGTACAATCTACCAAAGTGAGTGGCCTCGTCAGCCATACGATACAATTTAATAAATTTCAAGATTGGAGGAGTACCAGAGTAATAACGTATGACGCGTTTCTTCTCTCTACTTTTATAGATTTTGGGAGGTAGATTTCTACACGGAGGTCCACTGGAAGTACAACGTTACCGTATACTGCCTATATCCGGCGGACTTGAGAAGCAACGACTTGTACGTCACACTTTACGTCCACTGGATGTACTTCTTTATATGCTATCTGTTCCCGTTCCTCGCGTTGGTCATCTTCAACGCAGCCATCTATCAAAGGGTGGGTAAGATAAGTCGGGGTGGCGTATATCGCGCAGAAAACTCGCGCAATTTACCACGCTTGAAAAGTAAAAAGGAAGAATTTCCGCTGTAGAAAGTTTGCCACGGATTTGATTCGGTATATTTTATTTCCTCCGTCAATATCGCGCTTCAAGGGAAACAATTTCAAAGAGAAACTTCGTTAGGTAACATTTTCATTAAACGGCTGGATAAATTGCTATTTGCTTTTAAGAGAGATTAATATTATTTGAATAACATGTAGAACTACAATCGTGATCGTAGTTCTACGGCATCTGTAATTTTTAAACGAATAGCTCGTCGAGCGTGTCCTTCGATAAAATACACATGCAAATAACGATGCGGGCTTTATTTCGATAAACTGCTCGAAACGTGCTTTCACTGACAATAAGTCAGATTTCTAGACGACGTAATTTATTCGCAATCCTTAAATTGTTGCGCCGACAACAGTATACGAATCATTGAAGAAGAGCTGATTTACAGAATTTCTAACACACAACTCTTTCTCTTTTACGCTTATTCAGATAGTATATTTTATTCCGTTAGGGTCAGAAGAACTTTTTATAACGCCTAAGATAGGTATGTACGTATAGTAAGCAATTTGTGCGAATCGATTCTAAATGGCGTGTTGCCTAATAAATCTTTGCGCAGCTTCGCACAATCTCCCGTGGTCTAACGCAAGAAATATCCGTTCCAACGTCGCGAAAAACCATTCCTCGGAGTAAACTCTTTTGTGAGAAGCGTGCATGCACCTACACCTCTACTTTTCATTTGCAACGAAAGGTATAGGTTCGAAGAAAATTCAAAAATCAGAAGCAGAGAATAATATGAACGATCGTTGAATACACGTTACCTTAAAGCGAAATTTCTGAAAGAACCAAAACAGGTGTTCGAGAGATTCAATGGAAAAGTATATATAATAATAGTTCGAAGAATATGTTAGTTGTAAGCTCGAGCTATTTCCGATGTATGTGCATATTTATCTATGTACTTATATACATACATACATACGTCCATGACTTTCGTGCTGATATTTTAGAAACGAGTTACGAAAAAGCAGAAAAACGAAGATACGAAGTAGCTAGCAATAAAGATACGCCCCGTTTGGGACCACTTAAAGCTCGCATACTCTTAGCTAGTTAATATAGTTAGCTAGTAATAATACGTGGATCACGGAATAAATTGCGGAAGCAAAAAGAAACAACGACTTAGCCTAGGCGCCAACTTTTATTTTCTTTTTCGTTTTGGATAGGGAAAACGGTAATTAAAGTCCTTAGGTCTGAGAAATATTAGTAATCAAACCAAAAGGACTATTCTAAATGTGTAACCTCGTAATGTTTCAGGTTAGAAAGGCGAACAGAGATTTGCAACAGCTTTCTCGACATCAGAGACGGGAAATCGGACTAGCGACAATGTTGCTTTGCGTAGTGATCGTTTTTCTCATCTGTAACATTCTACCACTCGCCTCGAACATCCACGAGACCTTCCTCAACGATCCACCACTTTGGTTGGTGCAGACAGGCAACCTTCTCGTAACGATTAACAGCAGTATCAACTTCATCATCTACGTGATATTCGGTAGGAAGTTCAAGAGGATATTCCTGAAGTTGTTTTGTAGCTCGAAGCTGTTCGGACCAGGCAGAGACAGTCCAGAATTTCAAACTTACGACGAGTCGATCGTCACAAATATGACCAATATAGAACTGAGGAATTCTATCAGGCATTATCACCTAAACAGATCGAGCACTATTAATAGGAATAACAACAACTCGAACGGTAGTACACGACAAAGTGTGAAAATGTCAGGGAGGCCAGCCAGTCCAGGACCCTGCGTTTATTATCCAGCGAGAAGTCCTGCCAGAAGTCCTAGTCAGATGTCCAGAACGTCTAGCACTCAGAATGGATGGAGCAAAAAAGACATAGATTCTGCGCTATAGTAAATCTCGGATAATCTAATTCCAATAACTCGAACGGCTCTATTCGTGAACAATGCACACTTCTTTGTGCACCGCGTAACATGAAATAAGAAAATCTTTTAGAACGAACATCTTTTCAATCGGATGTATTCCAATAAGCTCGAAAGTACATACATATGAGTGTTACAAATATCTTTACAATTCACTGATTTTTAGACAAAGAAAAGAAAAAATAGCATCAGCACCTTCCATTTAGTCTCGTGTACTATTCTTAAAGATAACTGAATTTTTTTCATTGGTTAATCGATCGATCGAAAGAATTTAATCACGCGTAAATTCATTGCAACCTTGATGTCACATAAGTATTATAATTATTACTGGAAGTTCGGAAATACGATGCATTTTATTATACTGTATATCGTACAACTGTTTCAGATGTATAATATATCGTATACGAGGCATTTGAACATCAAAATAAGTAAATACAATGCGCTCTTCGAAAAGTGTAGGGTCATCGTTCTACAAAATCTAATGCGTGATAATGAATTGAATTGAAACGAAGGTGACTAATAATAAGTTTGAAAGAACACAGATATCAACGTGAAAAGGTATTCGGGAGCAGAAATATTGTGATAAAAACTTAACAGAAACTAATGCTTCGTTGTATCTATCGCAAAAAATATGTGAAACGGATGATCACCTTATACAAATACCTACTCGTACATAAGTAGACGATATAATCTTTCTGTAAAAAGGCATCTTCGTTATTCTAATGCCCGAAAAATTTTAGCAAATTGTAAATACCATCTATAAACTATGCGATTTTGATATGTTGTCACACAATGGTGAAATTTCTTCTTGGCATATGGATAATTATATGCATCGCGTAAATTTCCCTTGGAAAAAGAAAAATCAGCGAAAAGAGTAACGACCAAACGAAACGTCGGCACATCTCGTTAAGTTAAACGAAGTTGAACTTATTTGCAAACGAAAATTCGCATGCGCATGCAAATACAATAATGTCAAAATTTCCATAACAGGTCGGATTTACAATGGTCGGATTAATGTAAATATGTAATATTGAAATTCCATTCGAATAGAACTTCTTTCGTTTTTATATTTAAAAATGGTAAAAAATGAATAAGTATGTAGATTATAACACAATTTGGATATTTCAAAATGTTACTTCTAATCAAAAATTTGCATGTGTCGGATCGAAATTTTTTTAGCGCATGAAAATGCTATATTGATCGTAACTTATTCTGAAATATTAAGGTGTATTATACTGATTACAAAGATAAAACAACCCTATAAAATATATGTAATAGTTAACATTTACGTTCATCGTAATATCATTTTCTCTCTATGTAAAATAAATGTACTATACACTTTATTGACATTTATTATGTTACTTAAAAAATTACAAATTAGAAAAGCAAACGCCTTTATATCTTTTTATTTTTCTAGATTTACACCTTGGTACTTTAGAATGAAAGATAAACGTGTACCTGACGTCATTTATTAAGTAGATCTCTTAAATTCTTTTATATTGTTTCTCAAACCACCAACTTCAGTATGTACTTTTGTTATGTGAAAAATATTTGATGTACAAGTTAAATACGCCTCACATATTTATCGTTCTATCATTTTAAAAATGTGAGTAAGCGCATAAATTTTTACACTGGAGGCTAATTGTAAGTATCGCGACTATCCTATATAGATATAAAATAAATAAATTCATTTTAATTTTTTA